CGCCGGACCGGTAAGTTTAAACGTTAACGTCTGCGGTTCCCCTTCCGTCACCGGACGAAGTTTCGACGGCAGGAGACTCGCCAGATTAACAGAATGGCTTGCAATCTCAGCCTCATATCCAAATCCGACGGATTTCAAAAACTGAACCGCGATCGTCGATTTCTTCGACTGAAACTTGACGGATTGCTGAGACCCGGCGGTGTAGTAGACAGAAGACTTGATCGTTAACGTCTGCTCCAGTTTCGCCACGCCGCGTTGGACCGTCATGGAGCTACTACCGATAGACATTCCCCGTCGCTGCCATTGCACGATGAGCTCTTTCCCCTCCATGGTTGTCGGAAGGTCATCAACCCCGTGTACGTGCATCGCGAATGTACACGTGGCTTTTTTCATTCCCACGCGTGCCAGCGCCTTAAGCGGTCCCAGCTTGTCGATTAACCAGGCCTTCTGCGTAGGTTCGGGAATGCGTAAGCTCTGGCTAAACCGAACCTGGTCCGCGAGCCAGGCTCGGAAGTCGACGGCGGGAGCCAGAGCCGCGCTGCCGTATGCGTCGTTCAGGTTGCTGAAGGTAAGGTTGCGACGAATGGTGGGATTTGTCGCAGAGGCGTCGTTCAGGTCGTCGAAGGTGTGATTGCGACGCATGCTAGAATTTGTCGCAGAGGCGTCATTCACGTTGCTGAAAGTGCGAATCCGACGAATTTGAGAAGCTGTCGCAGGCGCGTCGTTCAGACCGCCGGATTTACGATTGCGACGCATGGGAGAAATTGCCTCAGAAGTATCGTTCAGGTCGCCGTCAGTACGATTGCGACGCATGGGAGAAGTTGTCGCAGAGGCGTCGTTCAGTTCGCCGTAAGTATGATTCCGACGCATGGGAGGAGCTTTCGTGGGAGTTGTTGCAGGCGGCGGGGTTGTCGCAGACGCCGAAAGGATAACCGTGCTTTCTTTCGCACTCACGCTGCGACCATACGATGCGAGTCCCATTTTTTTAGCGCCTCCGAGCTTTGAGCCGTCCATGCTTCTTCTTTTCGGTGCGTAGCTTGAAGTAAGTGGCAACGACTGCGATGCGAAGTTCTTGAGTTCGGCCTAACTCTACCTGTGCTGGAACTATTTGATGTGATGAGGCTGTGTCGGAATGGCGAAACAGTCAGGAGCCCAATTTGCACGCCAAGACAGGAGCTTCGCGTTATGAAAGAAGACTAAAGCCGATGAGGAACTGGACATAGGAACGGGACATAACCTCTGAATCTCGTCGCGCATGTGGCTGTCGAATTCCATCCACCCCTTGCTTGCGCCATATGCGCAACATAATCCATCCTCGACCATTGAAACCACGCGTGAACCTGCCCGTGCGCTTCTGCTCCTTCAGCCAGCCCAGATCAGTTGTTTGGAGAGTCACAGTACTGTCCAGTGGGGTGGAAATATGCAAGCCACACTGGAGAGAACTTAGAAATGCAAAAACACCCTTCATCGGTGGCGGAAGGGCGTGAGGGAGGGGGAGAGTAGTGGGAGAAATTTTATTAATAAAGAATGTTGTTTCTGCAATGATGTTTAGACGGAAAAGGAATGAAACAACTCGAGATTGGGTGCTTGGTCCCATTAGACATTCCCGAGAGGCGCCTCCATTTTTTCATCATGCCCCACAGACAGTTCCGAGGGGGCTCATACTAGGCGCTTCGCTGACCAGAAGAGACCAATCCAAACAAATTAGAGCGTAGAAACTGGCGGCACCGCACAACACAGGTCCCTCCCTCCCTAATCTGTTTCCGCACCTCCAAGCAAGGCGCTTGGGAAGAAGGATACTACAGCGAGAATACATTTTGTAGGTGAGAGCCTTTGCGCCAAAAATAAATTTTGTACAGCGAACCTGTCAGGGGCTCCCCCGGCGGAAAAAAACATGTTGCGGAGAAGCGGTTACAGCTTGCAGTTTGCGAAAGGGCAAGTGGCTCCACGAGGTTTGACGACTGTTCCGTTGGACGCCGTTTTGCGGCCAAAAGGCTGTCGGGCAATCTTCCCTGAAATCCCGCTTCGGTATGAACCAGACGTCCCACGCCGCAAATCCCACCCAAGTTCTGAGGCTGAGATCCACGGTCGAAAGTCCAGGACGGTCACGACCAGGGATCCGGCATGGCAGGGATGAATACAATTGGTGCAGCACTATTCCACGTTGGATAGACCAAAGAAATCATTGATCCCAAGTAATATCCAATATCACACAGTACGGTAGCATAACGGGTATTTCCATCAAAAGGATATGGTCTGTCAAAACGGAGCAACACTGCATCGACACATTACGTATAGTCCTACCAGTAAGCTAACACAAAACATCAGGCTACCCACTAAATATACTCTCCAGTTCCATACATTTATGCCCCAGTCCCATCCCGGCTGACGACGCACAATTCCCTTGTTATTTATTTTCTTCAGCACCAGCTTTCACTGGGGTTTATTTCTTTACGTTGTGAAAAGCTCTTCACAAAACAGAACTTGCTACTAGAGAAGCAAACAGCATCTCATTCCATGTATCAGGCACGCCAGGTAGACACCAATGGCTGCAACAAAAGAATCGCATACGTTATTCTTCACGACCCAATAGGAGTCTGAACGAAAACAGAATACGAAGACAAGCCAGAAAAAAGTGGCTGGCAAAAGGACATATCATTGACTCACCTGCAGTCCGCGCCAGTCGCTCCAGTCCAGTAACGTGCAATGTGTGCATCACTCCTGGAATACGACATTCTTGTAATATCATTTATAACTGGTTTTTTGGCTAGCTCCGGCCGCGTCATTGCCTCTCGACTTAATCGAGCAAATAACTCGGAAGGATCTTGCGAGATATCGTTTGGGGTTGGCGGGTCAACAGAGAGTGTGGGATGTGTTTCTGAGCAACCACCACTGTGATCCCAACTGCCACCCCTGCGATACAGGTAGCAGACAGGTAGCAGGCACGACAAGGAAAAGGCGGCAAATTTGATGGGACTGGAGCAATTAAGAATGAAATCTGGTTCATGACCCACGTGCATTGAGTTACGAGCACTGGTCAATGGATGTGGGGACGAGTGGGATGAAGGAGACAGTTGAAGATGGTCAATGGGTGAACTGGAAGAAAGAAAGCATGAAGCTTGTTTTTGGGCTAGCACCCCTGCCATCCAAACTAACACACCCTGCCATACCAGCTATCAACAGAGAACAGCGGACTAGGCAGCAAGGAAAATGACAAGAGAATCTAATCGTGATCAGAACGGTTCCAGTCTTACGCAAAGTGGGCAGGTGCATAGGTGCGGAAGACAGCTGTGGCGTTGACAGCCTGTGGAGGCCACTGCTGAACCAGCCTCCCACCCAGCAGGGTGAGGTTGTGCGTGTGGGATGGAGGAGCAAGCCTAAACGGCCGGGCAGGCTCCAGTCTTACGCGAAGTGGGCAGGTGCATAGGTGTGGAAGACAGCTGTGGCGTTGGCAGCATGAGGAGGCCACTGCTGGAGCCAGTCAGACACTCGCCCAGCATGGACGAGTGGCAGAGAGAGTGTGTGTGCGAGATGGAGGTGTGAACCTTTACACAGCTAGCCCGCCCCAGACTTACGCGAAGTGGGCGGGTGCATAGGTGCGGAAGACAGCCGTGGCGTTGGCAGCTCGAGGCGGCCATTGCTGGAGCCAGTCTGCCACTCGCAGCATGGCCAGGCGGAACCCCTCGGTCTCATCAATGTCTGGGCGAGTCTGGTTGTTCACCAGGAATGACACGTTCCTGCACGGGAACACAGTGGATACAGCGAATTGGTATAATGACCCCCCCTCAACAATACATGTGCAGCATGGCCAGGCGGAATCCCTCGGTCTCATCAATGTCCGGGCGAGTCTGGTTGTTCACCAGGAATGACACGTTCCTGCATGGGAACAGAGGGAGTGCAAGGGATTTGGTTTTAGGTGCCTCAGAAATGAAATACATGTGCAGCATGGCCAGGCGGAACCCCTCTGTCTCATCAATGTCTGGGCGAGTTTGGTTGTTCACCAAGAAGGAGACGTTCCTGCACGGGAACAGAGAGAATTCAGGGGAGCTTTTGAGTTCTGTCATGGGATCACTACTTCAGCTCACACCTGATTTGAAAAGGGGAAGGCCTCTCTCGCATGTTAACGTTGGGGTGAAGTGCGTAATCCACTAAGAATGAAAGAAAGGAATGGACGTTCCACCGATAAGAGAGAGCAAGGATTTGATATCTTTTGCACTACTATAACCCGAGCAGCCAACTCACTGAGACGAGATCTTAGATGGGGTGAACCAGTGGCCTCCATTGAGCACGAGTATGATCCCCTCTGGTCGATCGTCAAAGAGCCTCCGAGTGAAGAGAGGGTCAACCACGTCTGTGTTCACCACTGCTCCAATCTGCAGCCAAGAACAGTGGCAGCAGAAGTTGGGAATGCAGAATCTGAAGGAAGAGGAAGAGAGCAAACGAGTGAACCAGTGGCCTGCATTGAGCACAAGTATCAACCCCTCTGGCCGATCGTCAAAGAACCTGCAAGGAAAGGGCCCACTGTGTCTGAGTTGACCCTGATCCGATGCACACACAAGAGCCAGGTAATCCGAGTTAGGGGTATGTGAAGGGGACTGGCATGTCCTGACGGGAGCTGGTGGGAGACTCTGTTGTATGATCACTGTGGCAAAGAGCAAGCTTTTGAGAGTTCTAAAAAATCGCGAGCAAAAGACGCGCGCACCAGGAAGAGCGCAGTGAAATCGAACGAGGAAGCGCGAGAGGTGGTACTCCACAGGGAAGTTGAACCGAGTGAAAACATAGAGCATCAACGCCATCATGTCCACCTTCTCAAGCAGGATCCATCAACGATATCATGTCCACCTTCTCAAGCAGGATCCCAGGGAGCCTAATAGATTGTCTGCGACTCACTCACATGAGGTGGCGCATCAGGGGGAGCGTGATGAAATCCCACGAGGAAGTGCGAGAGGTGGTACTCCACAGTGAAGTTGAACTCAGTGAAATCATACAACATAGTATCCACCTTCTTGGTCAGATTGTTGCCCGTGCGCTGCCGTGCAGTGGGGTGGAGTGCAAGAGCGGGGGAGAGAGAGGGGGCAAGAGCAGTGCAAGAGAATGAAATTGATTTAGCTTAGCTGAGAAGCCATGAAAAAGAGTATGCTTCAAGTGAGTGTCTCGTGAGAAAAGTGAGCTGTAACCATATGGCATGACATGACTATTCACTACGGAGGAACAGCAGCAGTAGCACCTCAACAACAGCTGAGACATCAAGAAGTCCAATGCCGAGAAGGCACAGAGCGCTCTCAAACTGGTTGCGGCAATTGACTTGACTAGCAACAGTACCTCTACAACAGCAGAGACATCGGGAAGATCAATGCCGAGGAGGCACAGAGCGCTCTCAAACTGGTTGCGGCACAACGAGTCTCCCACAAACACCAGCCGGCGCCCGTTGAGCCGCCTTCGGATGTCTGATGCATCGAACCTGGACAAAACATGCGGAGACCATCCGAGAAGCCAGATTCGTTGAACCTGGACATGCAAAAAGGTCATCTTATGGAAAAGAGCGAGAAACTAGACAAAAGACGAAAAGTCACTGGGAGCGCGGAGCACGTACAGAGGAAGTCCGAGAAAGAAGCCCTGCATTGCAACTCACCTTGGTAAATTACAACCATGCGGTTGCCATCTGAACTTCATATAGTCCGTGTCATGCCGACCCAGGGCTTCACATTCAAACCCAGTCTCGACCCACGGACAGGACCCCGTCTTCCACAACGGATACTTTTCCGGCGCGTACACCCACTTCCCCTCCCACAGATCGCACGCTGCGTCCATTTCTGGCCTCCTAGCGGCCACCTCGGGATCATCGAGAAAGCCGTCAGGCGTCCATGGCTCCGGGGTGGGTGGGAGCGTGGAGCATTGATTGAAGATCGACGCGACGAGGGATGTTAGACTTGGGAAGGTGCAGGAGGGAGAGGTGGGAAAGCCGGAGTGGTTCGCTTGGAGGTGGAAGAGGGAGAGAAGAAGGCAGAGGAAGATGGATACGGCGAGGCAGAACGGGCCTACTAAGATGGTGACGTAGAATGTAGAGGCTTGGACGGATACTGAGTGCTTCCAAGAGGTTTCCATGAAGGTTCCGAGCTTGAGGACGTAGGGAATTGCGTTTGGCCATGTTGTGTCCTTGGATGCGTCCACTCCGCTCTCTGGCATCGTTGAAAATCGGTATGCAAACGAAAATCCCGCTTACGGCTTAGCGTTCCACGAAGAACAGAAGGAAGCACTTGCACGCCTTTGTCTGAAACGGCTCTGTGGTTTCTAACGCTATAAATGATGAAATCGAGAGGCAACGCTCGCGTAAGACACCTTCAGTGCATCTCAGACATTGAAAGCGCATACAACGCTAGAATGTGTCATCAGAGAGATCCTCCTTCGTAAAGTGTCCCCAGTTCTTTGCTAGTCTCCAGCTAGTTGCGAGGCAACGTCAGCTCTCATTGTCGGAAAGTCTTGGCAAAATGGAAGAGGGAAGGTATTATCAGTTCTGACCTTCGATAGGTGTTTGCTGTCAGATCTTACTTTTGTTCGGTTTAGTACGGTTTAGGAGAAGATTTGTTCACACGCTACGGCGAACCTCACTTACATATTTCGCGGTTCGACTCCCAGTACACGTATTTATCGAAGGCTCGACCAGGCGTATGTGATGGTTCGCGTTCCAACAGCGAAACGGGGGCGTGGTTACCACTCGGCAACTTCTGGGTTCGCACTGTCGGACGCTGGCGAAGCCTGGGCAAAAAGCAGCACCAGTTACAGATCTGCTCTCCAACGACTATATGAGGAATTTAACCCATACTAACCCCAACCAACCCTTTTCAAACTGTTCCAACCACCGATGTCGCCAGCGCAACCCCGATGTTGCAGTTGGAAAACCACCCCCCCACATCTCTCTCATCGCGTTTTCATTCAACTTGGATCTGCTTCCCTTGTTGACAAATCTCACTTCACTTGTTTCGTCCTTAGAACATTCAGTATTTTTACCCAGGCCAATTCATCCAGATCCGTCTTTTCTTTTAGCACGATCCGTTCATTCTATTACTAATTTTAGTCGATTCTCCATCCGACACCATGGCTAAGGGTTCAGTCAGCCAAGCGTCCACTTCCGTTGCACGCGGCGGAAGTGGTGCTGTGAGTAGAGGAGCGGCTGCCGGAGGAGCTCCCAAGGGAGTAGGATCAGCAGGTCTTCGCAGGAGACGGCCAACAGCGGCAGCAACTTCGAGCGCTGCGAATAACATGCTGCGATTTTACACGGACGACGCTCCAGGCCTTAAGATCACTCCAACCGTCGTTCTCGTGATGAGCCTCTGCTTCATTGGATTCGTCACCGCCTTGCACGTTGTGGGGAAGCTCTACGGTTACTCCTCCGCCAAGTGATCTGTTTGGATAAGACACTATCTTTCTCGTAGATGTCTAATTCTAGCTAGGCTCGGGGGTTCTTTTTGGCTGATTTGGTCTGATTCGTGTATTTCAATCTGGTGTGGAGAAGCAGTGTCACTTGCAGCCATTGAAGGCTCCATGTATCATTTTTGGGGCGTGTGGACGGCAAGCGTAGTTTATGGTCATTGTTCAGGCTTGTACATGGTTGCAAGTATCTATCGTGGGTTTCAGAAATTTGTTTGAGCATCTAGCGTTTTGGTTTGCGCTGTTGCCCTGCGTTGTGGTGCACATGGCCATGGGGACTAACACAGAGACCCAGTCATAGGTAGAAGTTGATGCTGATGCTAAAATACAGGGACACTGAAAGATGCTTGATATGATTGTGCTGTGAGGTGAGTGGGAGGCTGCTGCTTATACAGTACTTACCTCAATGGCAGTACAGATGCTTTTTATTGGCTCTTGCTACCACCACGAGGTTGTGCTTGGCATGGCGGCCATTGTGACTCTGCTCAAACCACTGGGCTGTAAACCCTAATGCTACAGTTGCATGGGATTGTAAGTTGATAGTCGGCTGTGCTGTTGTGCTGCTGTTCTACATTGAAACTCATTGAAAGGCAGTGGGAGGCATTGTAGCAGCCACTCTGGCAGTACAGTTCCGCCGTAGAGGGGTGTCTGAGAATATGGCTCGAATGGTTTGTTGCACCTGGACAGAAGGAAAGCAGAGACGGAAATTGTGGAGCAAAACGGAAGAGACTAAGCATGGTGGTGTAAACAAACAAACAAGAATCAGGTTCAACTCATAATGTCTGGGGGTGACAGCAACCTGGGGTAGAGATAAAGAAGGAACCATGAGGATGACAGAGTGTAGCCATGGAAGAAAGCAAATGGAGGCATCACAAAAGAAACACAGGAAAACACCATGGAAAGAGCTCATGAGTTACCTCATCGGAGGTGAAACCACAGCGGCACAAATCACCACTCTCCCACGCCTGTGTGATTGCCACTAATGGCATGTCAAGCAAATCTGGAGGGTTGGAACAGTGAAAAGATGAAAAACAGACAGATGGGAATTGAGGGGAAACCACACTGATTATCTTGTTGGAGAGTGATATACATATCGATGGAACATAGAAGCAATGAAGAAATGGGACTTACCTATTAGGGAAAGGACTTACCTTCACATTTGAATCCACGAAGAGATAGCAATAATTACGTACCTGTTAGTCTTTTCAGCTTGCGATACACAGGAACGAGAGACTCAAGAGTTGCTGTGTCAGCAACGGCATCTGACACGTCAGCATCCAGGTCAGCAGCTGCAGCTACAGATGCTGACGTGGCGCCATGGGCACTGCTAATGGCTCCAGAGAGGCCCACGTGGAACAGAGGAGGCAAACGTGTCAGCATCCCTGCAAAGAGCTTGCGAAGCTGATAAAGAGGGGGTAGGAGGGGGTGGGGAGGAGAGGGGGAGGGCGCGAGGAGGGGAGGGTGGGGAGATAAGAGGGACGTTGTGGAAAATAGAAGGCAGAGGGTTGAGCTTGTGAAGCTGATGGGACACGTGAATGGAGGAGTGGAGCAAGGTGGAGAAGGAAGGAAAGGCAACAGCAGAGGAGGAGGGGGAGGAGGGGGAGGAGGGGGAGGAAAGGGGGGAGGGGGAGAGGAGCAGGGGTGGGAAAGAGAGAGGGGTTGGCATGATATGTACAGCTGAACAACGTAAAATGGCAGCATTCGTCAACCCACCTGCTCTGTTTCATCAACAGATATGTCGGGCAGTGCGAGGACGTGCGCACAGCAGCGGGAGAGCACAGCAGAGACGAGGCGACTCATGGCTCGGAGATAGCGTGAGGGCGGTGAGACTGGCCGCCACACAGATGAGAGGTGCGCGAGGTGGTGTACCGCCTGTGTGTTATGGGATGAGGGTTGGAGGAGGGTGGAGGGGGGTGAGGGAAACTCATGGCACGGAGGTGGCGCGAGGGCGGAGAGCCTGGGCGACATACAGATGAGAGGTGGGCCAGGTGATGCACCACCAGGAAGGAAGGAAGAGGGGATTGATAAGACAAGGAAAAGGAAGTACAAGGAGGTATACGGCGGTAGAAGAAGGTAGAGGGAGGTAGCGGAAAGGCGGTGAGACTGGCCACCAGACAGACGAGAGGTGGGCGAGGTGTATCGCAGTGCACAGCGATACACCTCCTCCTCGTCAGTCCTGAACCCCTGCGCCCCGTCCAATGCCTCCATGAGATACCCGTGGTGCCGCTCCAACAGGGAAGTATGCAGTAACGCACCTGCTTCAGAGCTCGCAAGGCACAGCGATACACCTCCTCCTCATCCGTGTTTCTGAACCCCTGTGCCCCATCCAAAGCTTCCATCAAATACCCGTGGTGCCTCTCCAGCACGCGCTGCATCTGCTCCTCCGCCAGCTGGCGCAGGAACGGCGCCACGTCAGCAAAGGTGGCCACGTGGCGCACGCCAGCTGGCAGGCGCGCGCGGTACTGCAGCGCGAGGGAGAGGCACACGTGGCTGAGCAGCAGGCGGTCGTTGATTGCTATCATTGCCAGCTGTGCCACGTCCACAGGCTGGGAACGAGGGTACAAAGGGAGGGACGGAGGGAGGGAGAGGGCAAGGGACGGAAGGAGCACAAAGGGTCAAACCCCTGTCGAGCCAGACGTGGCTGAGCAGCAGGCGGTCATTGACTGCTATCATTGCCAGCTGTGCCACGTCAACAGGCTGTGGGGCAAGTAGGAACGGGGGAGAAAACCGAGCTATGAAAAATCTGAACAATTGGAGAGGCAGCCTTGCCTCAGCAGTAGGCGGTGGTTGGCTGCTATCATTGCCAGCTGTGCCACGTCCACAGGCTGTGGGGCAAGTAGGAACGGGGAGAAACCCGAGCAGTAAGCGGTGGTTGGCTGCTATCATTGCCAGCTGTGCCACGTCCACAGGCTGTGGGGCAAGTAGGAACGGGGAGAAACCCGAGCAGTAAGCGGTGGTTGGCTGCTATCATTGCCAGCTGTGCCACGTCCACAGGCTGTGGGGCAAGTAGGAACGGGGAAAAACCCGAGCAGTAAGCGGTGGTTGGCTGCTATCATTGCCAGCTGTGCCACGTCCACAGGCTGTGGGGCAAGTAGGAACGGGGAGAAACCCGAGCAGTAAGCGGTGGTTGGCTGCTATCATTGCCAGCTGTGCCACGTCCACAGGCTGTGGGGCAAGTAGGAACGGGGAGAAACCCGAGCAGTAAGCGGTGGTTGGCTGCTATCATTGCTTGGGAGGGATGGGTGGGAATGGGAGAGGCAGACGTTGCTCAGCTCAGCAGTAGGCGGTGGTTGGCTGCTATCATTGCCAGCTGTGCCACGTCCATAGGCTGCTTGGGAGGGATGGGTGGGAATGAGGGAACAATCGGAGAGGAAGGGAAGGAGCAGAAATATTCCACGCAAAAGGAAAGGCAGCCTCGCCTCAGCAGCAGGCGGACGTTGGCTGCTATCATTGCCATTGCCATTGGGAATGATGGAACACAGGGGAAGGAGTGAGGGGAGAAAGAAGCGGCAGGGGAAGGTCACATAATAGGAGAGGCCAAAGGGGCTCAGCAGCAGGCGGATGTTGGCTGCTATCATTGCCATTGCCATTGGGAATGAGGGAACAAGCAGGAAGAGGGAGGGAGCAGTGACGACTAGAGCAAAAGGAGAGGCACACGTGGCTGAGAAGCAGGCGCTCATTCACTGCTATCATGGCCAGCTGAGTCACGCCCACTGGCTGTTTCCAAAAAAATGAGTGGGAACGAGGGAACAGTGGAGAGCGAGGAAAGGAGCAGAGATAATCCGAGCAATAGGAGAGGCAGAGGTAGCTTAGCAGTAGGCTACCATTGCTAGCTGTGCCAAGTCGACAGGCTGTATGAGAATACGCGCCTGGGACCAAGGGGCGCTAGTGGACCAAATGCGAGATGGAGGAGTGACGATGACTCGAGCCATTGCAGGGGCGCCTTGGAGAGGCAGTCATACAGGGGTACAGTGGTACAGCGCGGTACAAAGTGCTACAGAGCGGTACAAAGTGGTACAGAGGAGTACAAAAGTGGTACAGAGGAGTACAAAGTGGTACAGAGGAGTGCAAAGTGGTACAGAGCGGTATACAAGACTCACAGCAGAGGATGGCAGAGCACGGTAGAGGGTGAAGATGTCTCGTGCTGCCCGATACAGTTCCATGGCCGTACGATCCGTAGACTGGGAAGCTTCCTGGAAGGCAAGTGGAATAGGGAAACCAGCAATGCTAATAAGGATTAAACCCAGGTCAGACCACGCGGCTTAGGCTTGCCAGCTCACGTCTGTCAAGCAAACGAGCATTGGACATGCATAAGACGAAAGCATATTATGAGACGTCTCAAACTTTGCAGAACTCAAACGGAAAAAAGCGTACCTCCATGGTGTTGTGAACGATTTCGAGGATCTTGCACACTGGCTCGCTGACGTGGCACGGCTCCCAGTAGAATACCGAGTTATTCTGAAGAGAGGATGATGACATGGCATGCGCATGAATTGCGTGATAATTGATTTTGTGATAGATAGAACACAGCCAATGATGTTGCACCAAGCAATGCCAATGCGACACTGCATAGACAAATGCGATCGACAATTAGATTATAAAGAGTAAAAAGGGGTAATGTGACAAGAATGACTTGCATTAGGCTATCCTCACCATGTCAGAAGTCACATCAGCAGGAGCAGCATTAGCAGCAGCAGCAGTGCCTGCCTCTCCCACCACGAGCTGTAGCAGCTGCTGACCAAACACTGCCGGCTGTAGTGCAGGGTTGCTCACATCTGGACTCACGGGTGTGACCTGTAGGTGACAGGAATGGGGGTGAAAGGGGTGGGCCATGGGGTTGAAAGGGGGGGTGGCGTGGGGTGAAAGGGGTGAGCATGGGTGCGAAGGGGTGGGCATGCCGCGAGTCCCACCACCAGCTGTAGCAGCTGTTGACCAAACACTGCTGGCTGTAGTGCAGGGTTGCTCACATCTGGACTCACAGGAGTCACCTGAGAGTGACAGGGTAGGAAAGGAATGCGGTGGGGTGAAGGGTGTGGGGTGAGAATGGGTGCAAACGGGTGAATGCAGCGTGCAGGTGGGCTTGGGGTGTGAACGGGTGGGTATAGTTGGGTGCCAAAGGGTCGGCTTGGGTGTGATGTGTGGGAGTCGGTGTGAAGGCGTGGGCGAGGGTGTGAAAGATCGTGCATGGGTGTGAAAAATCGTGCATGGGTGTGGAAAATCGTGCATGGGTGTGAAAAATCGTGCACGGGTGTGAAAAATCGTGAATGGGTGTGACTCTCACAACCCGCAAAGCAATCACAAACGCTTACCACCAGCCGTGAGACCGAGAAGTCTCCTTTGAGCAGCAGGTGCCTCACAGCTGCCAGAGCTGCCACTCGTTTCTTCTCTGCAAAGTGCACGTCCACGTCAGCAGCATACGCCATCAGCCTGTCCCCCACTGGTGCTGCTGCTCGCTTCGCTGCCCCCCCTGCACGAAGCTTCATCTCCTTGAGTGCTGCAGATGCTGGGCGGAAAGCACGAGGGGAGAAGGAAAGAATAGCGGGTCCACGTCAGCAGCATACGCCATCAGCCTGTCCCCCACTGGTGCTGCTCTGATCTCTTCGCTCCCCCTGCCTGCGGTTTTGCGCCCTTGAGTGCTGCAGAGGCTGGGTGGAGAGCAACGAGGGGGATGGGGGAAGAAGGAAGGGAGGAATGGGGAGTGCGTGCCACTCGTTTCTTCTCTGCGAAATGCACATTCACGTCAACATACGCCATCAGAATGTCGCCCACTGGTGCTGCTGCTGGCCTCTTCACCGCTCCTGCCTGCAGTTTCACGTCCTTGAGAGGAGCAAGGGTGGAATGGACAGCACTTTCGGGGGTGCTGCGGAGGATGCTCGAAGAAGAAGCATACCTTTTGAAAGTGGCACAAGGAATCCCTCTGTTTCGAACGCCCGTGTCACCTCCACCACCTCCTGATTCCGAGCCAGCTCCCTCGTCTCCTGGGGCATGGGCTGCTATTGACACGCCTCAAAACTAAGGCAAGAGGGACATACCTTTCGGCAGTGGTGCAAGGAACCCCTCCGCTCGGAGGGCTGTTTCGAATGCCCGTGTCACCTCCACCACCTCCTGAAAGCGGGCTAGCTCCCTCGTCTCCTGAGGCACAGCCTGTGCGGGGCATACGATGGAAAAATGGAGAGGAGAACCTGTGTGCTGAGGCCGTGTTTGAGCGAGCGAGTGGCTCTTTTCCATCACCTTGTGAACGCAAGAGTGAAGCAGATCCGTGCCGACCAACTGAGAAAATGAGCAGCTTACAGAGGAATGCGAGGCAGGCACCGATGCTGTCAGCCATGGGGAGGCCAGAGGGCACCTGCCAAACGCTGCCAGACGCTGCCAAACGCTGCATACACCAGAAGCTCACCAGCTATATGCAGCGTTTGGCAGCTGCTGGCCACAGTGCACCAGGTAAGGCCTCTCATCAGCTTACCCGTGCCAAACACCTCTCAATGAGACTGTCGGCCATGAGAGGCCAGAGGGCAGTGGCCAAATGTACGGTGGATTGAAACATGCGCATTCACATCAGCAGCTTACTAGCTTACCAGCAGGGTCTCCTGTCAGTCAGCTTACCAGAGCAAGGCACCTCTCAATGATACTGTCGGCCATGCGAGGCCAGAGGGCCGCCGCCAGCCGCTGCAGTCGAATGCTACTGCCCCCGCTGCCACTCCCACTGATGGTGCCGCCCTCCGCACTGATGGTGGTGCTGCAGGTGAGGTGGCGACTGAGGAAGCGGATGAGGTTGAGAAGGAGAGGGTACAGATGGAAAGGCGTCACTGGTGCTGCTCCTGCTGCCCCTGCTGCTCCTGCTGCTGAAGATTCTGAATGTGCTGCAGTTGATGGCGCATGTGTTGTTGCTGCGGGTGCAGAAGTCTCAAATTGCACATGGATGAGAGCAACGGAAGGAGAGGCAGCGGCGTCCCTTGGGGAAGCTGGGTTGGCATCAGCAGGGGGTGAGGCGATGAGAGAGGCGGATGGGGAGGAGAGAAGAGGAAGCACGATGGTTGAATGGATCGACGCTGCTATTCTGGACCATAGCGGCCCTGCTGCTACTGGCAGTGAGGATGATGATGATGCTGCTGCTGTTGGTGCTGCTGCTGCTGATGTTGATGGTGCTGATGGTGGTGGGAGCACTGGCAATGTCAGCACTTCCAGAGCAGATAGCACCTCTGGTAAGTGCACAACAGGAGCAGAAGCAGTACTAGCGGATGTGAGTGCAGCGGATGTGACTATACGGATGGAGTGGCTGGAAGGGTCGATCACCAGCATCTGCCACAGCTGCTGCTCCAAGCTGTGCTGCAGCTGAAGGGGTGGAGAGGGGTGGAGAGGGGCAGAGAGGGGTGGAAGGGTGTGACTATACGGATGGAGTGGCTGGACGGGTCGATCACCAGCATCTGCCAGAGCTGCTGCTCCAAGCTGTGCTGCAGCTGAAGGGGTGGAACGGGGTGGAGAGCGGTAGAGAGGGGTGGAGAGGATGTGAGGGAAGTGGAAACTAATGAAATAGTGCATTACTTATCAAAGAAGTAAACGTACTTAAGCTAATGTACAAGGCAGGACCGGCCCAGGCCAGGCCCAGACGAGGCTCAGGATTTGGCATATCTGAGCCACGCGAATCTACCTGCTTACAGCTGGCAGCGTCCATTTGCTGCCGCAGCAGCGTCACCACCTCAGGCTCCTCCCTTGGAGTCATAAGTACTACCACATGACTCCAACACATTGCAACCAAGCCACACACACCTGTTTACAGCTGGCGTCCACTTGCTGTCGCAGCAGCGTCACCACCACAGGCTCCTCTCCTTGCTCCTCCTCTCCGCCCTTACCCTCTCCCGCACCCTGCCTACCCCCCTCTCCCTCCCCGTCCCTACCCTCCACAAAGGAGGCTTTGAGACCCCGAGCCAGAGTCGCAGCTTCCAAGAGCCTTCCTCTTCCCAGCAGTACCTGCATCTCCGCTTGCTTCTTTTGAAGCTGAACAATCTCCTCTACTGCTTTCCGAATCTCTGCTTTCTCATTGGCTGCTTCATTCAACGCTCGCACCTCATTAGTCGCCCTTACCACCTCCTCCACGAACCCTAACGCTGCTCCCGAGCCTAGACCTGTCCCCGAGCCAGTTGCCGATGCTGGTCCCGAGCCAGGAGCATGATTCCCTCCTCCCTCCCTTCCTCTACGTCCGAATTCGGTAGCTTCTGTTGGTGACACGCTGGCAGCCAGGGCATCCACCTCAGCCAGCAGAACCGCCACGTCATCACCAGCCTGGCAGGCATGCCACATCAGCTGGCGGAGCTCCTCGTGTCTGCCTTCCACCTCCTGTATGATCTCTGCCTTTACCTGCTCGGACCGCTCTTCAATGCGAGAGAGACACGTCAGCAGGTCCGCGACGGACAGCTGTGCTGACAGGTCAGCTTCGGGTGAAGCTACTTCACGAGCCGCGGATTGTCGGGGAATCCCGGCGTGAGAAGCGGCGTGAGATGCGGAGTGTCCGTCAGGCCCTGCTTCTGGTACAGCGCGATTGCTGGAAGCGCCGAGAACAAGATCCGCAAATGAGGATGCAGCATCGTGTAAGGAACGGCTGGGATTGGACGACACATTCAAGGCAGTAGCTGCATAATCAGCGGGAAGGCTGCTACTGACTTGGTGAGATCGAGCTGAAACAGCGACAGCCATGGCGAAGCGCTCGCTTCTCTAAGAGTCTGACGAGAGCGTAACAAGTGGAGTCAGGTATGGCGGAATCGCGGTCGTTTTAGAATCTGCTCTGCAGCCATACCCATTCAACAGCCAACATTCTTGTCGCAACAAGCTCACCACCACTGGGTCATGCCTGATTCCCTTATTGCAGTTCTGGTTCAAATAAGTTTCATTGCTGTACAAAAAAAATATTATTTACAACTTTATCATGGACTACAGTTTTCATGTTATTGTTTGAGCTTTGATGTAACGATACACAAAATTCCTTAATATTACAAACATGTATACAATATGTAGCTAGACAAAGAACAAGAAATAGTGAAATTAGTTTGGCATAAAGGGGATGCAAAGTTATTGCCTTTGTTTGATTTTTAATCCTAGTGAACACGTAAACGGGATTGTCTGCGGGAGGGTTCCACAACTTTGCGCCTCGATACTGCCGCCAATTTTCATCGAGGTTGTCAGAGCCGCCGTCCCTGGCGCCAAAATTGGACCCAGCCACATCCTTCCCTTCCCTCCCCAACATCTTTCCTACCATTCTTCTTTCCGACCAGCAAAACTCCCTCCCTCCAAGGCTCTCTAAGCTTAGTCCCATTGTTGGCCCAGCGATCAGTTGTGACTCTGAACTCCTCTTTGGTTGGTAGAGAAGATCCCGCCTGAAACGACGCTGGCTCGCAGTCTTCTCGGTAGGAGATGCTTCTTTCCGATTCCGCCTTATGTGGGACAGCTGACTCTTCTATTACTCTCGACTATAGATTCGAGTTTGAGTCGCGTCTTTCCTGGTTCTATTTTGAAGCCATCACAGAAATGCGGTTTTAGTATGAAGGATAGAATAGCAATCATGCTACCTAAAGCGCAGGAGGGTTTCGCGACCATAGTACGCGGTTCCAAAATTCAGGATGGGCGAACGACCGTAGTACGCGGCTGACGCAGGATGGATTAACGACATTAAGCGGTTCTAAGCTGAAGAATGGACTAGCGACTTCTAAAGTGCGTTGTTAGGTAGTACACTTCAATACTAACCTTCCTGATGCGGCCCTAGACAACCTGAACCACCACGCAGTCCGGCTGGTCACTTCCTGCACGCTGCTCAGTCCCGTCTCTGCTCGAGGCCTGTCATTCAGCCCTCCCATTTCGTCGTCGGCTTTCGCCGCCGTTTGTCGAGTTTGTCTGCGCTTCCTGGAGTGTCGCTACGGTTAACCTGGTTCGCTGCCGCCGTTCGCGGTGTTTCTCTGCCCTTCGCCAATGTTCGTCAAGTTCGTTCCCGGCGTTCGCTAAGATTCCCTGAGTTCCGCTTCCGTTTGCTGACTTTCGGTGCCGTTCGCCGAGTGTCGCTGCCTTTCGTAAAGGCGCTGCCGTTCGCCAAGCCTTCGCTAAATCTCCTGCCGTTCGCCGATACTGTTTCGCGCCGAGTTCCTGCACCGTTCGTCACGTTTCGATGGTTTCGCTGACTTCCGCAGCCGCTCGCGAGTTTTGATTCGAGAAATGACGGCGAAGGATACAGAAGCACGGCGGAACGGAGAGCAACACGGATTCGAAGAAGATTCGACACATGCTGACGACAGCAGAGCGACATCATGTGCATGATGCGAAGGTGCGTGTGCGTGTAAGGGATGTATGGGGGGGCGCGTAGGACGTAGGAGTCCGCCACGTAGGTGTCTCCAGTCCGCTATTCCTGCTATCCAGCGTCTTTTGTCGCAAAGAGCTTGATCTAACGCACGTGCGTGTTCTCCCTCTGCTGTTGCGTGTGTGGGGTGGGGAGGAGGAGGAGCACAGGAGGAGGCAAGGAGGGTCAGGCGAACGACGTCAGAGCAGCAGCAGCAACAACAGCAAGGATACAGGGGGGAGAAAGCTTGAGGCGGAAATGGGACTGCGTTACCGTACAGTATGGTAAGCTCTTGCTCAACTGTATTGGGGGGGGTCGAACAGTCTAGGTCGCCGCGCGGCAAGTCTTAGAATGATTTTTTGTTTCTTACGAGTCTGTTTCCTCTGCTGCTTCTGACGCTCTCTCCTCTGTGCTTGTTCCTGTGCTGTTGCGAGGAGAAACGCGGATTGTGCGGGTGATCGCGGATTGCGCGGAGAAATGGGAATTGCGCGGAGGAACGGGGATTGCGCGGATGAACGCGGATTGCGGGAGGCGGAAGAGGGACTGTGTTACTCTGCTATGGTAAGCTCTTGACCGAATCTACTGGGGGAGTCGAGCAGTCTAGGTCGCCGCGCGGCAAGTCTTTAAATATTTTTTTGGTTCTTTCGAATTTGTTTCCTCTGCTGCTTCTGGCGCTCTCTCCCCTGTGCTTGTTCCTGTGTTGTTGCGAGGAGAAACCCGGATTGCGCGGAGAAACGCGGATTGCACGGGGAAATGGGGATTGCGCGGACGAACGCGGATTGCGCGGCAGAACGCGGATTGCGCGGCAGAACGAGGATTGCGGGAGGCGGAAGAGGGACTGTGTTACTCTGCAGTATGGTAAGCTCTTGACCGAATCTAATGGGTGCATCGAGCAGTCTAGGTCGCCGCGCGGCAAGTCTTAGAATCATTTTTTTGTTCTTTCGAATTCGTTTCTTCTGCTGCTTCTGACGCTCTCTCCTCTGTGCTTGTTCCTGTGATGTGTGCGCTGCTCTGGTTCGGGTGCCTCCTTGACTGAGGCCCACGCACGCCGCAACAGTCCTACCAAGGCGTCTTAGAATCTGCCTCAAGGGCGAGACAACAATCCTGCCTGCCACGGGGTGTTGACTCCCAGGGAGGGGCTCTGCGAGTGAGGATCCGCCTTCTGAGCCGTCTTAGAAACAGGCTGATGGTGGCAGTATGGTAAGTCGTTGGTCTGATCTATTGGGGGGCCAGGTCAGTCTAGGTCGCCGTGCGGCAAGTCATAGAATCGGGCTTTGCTTCTTCCGAGTCCACTTTCTCTGCTACTTTCAACGCGCTCTCCCTGCTTGTTCCTGTTCGTGTTCGCTGCCCTGGTTGGGGTGCCGCATTGTGTGTCTGAGGCCCATGCACGCCCCAACAGACCTGCCAATGCCTGCTGGTGCATTGCGTCCCAGGGAGGGGCTCTGCCAGAAACGACCCAACCACATGGGCATCTCAGAATCTGCTAATGAGGCGTCTCAGAATCTGCCCCAAGGGCGAGACAGCAGTCCTGCCTGCCACGGGGTGGTGCGTCTCAGGGAGAGGCTCTGCGAGGGAGGATCCGCCTTGTGAGCTGCTCAGAAACAGGCTCAACATGGTGAGTCGTTGGGCCGACGTATTGGGGGGGCAGAGCAGTCTAGGTCGCCACGCGGCAAGTCATAGAATCGGGTTTAGCTTTTTCTGAGTCCGTTTCGTCTGCTGCCTCTGACTCTCTCTCCTCTGTGCTTCCTCCTGTGCTGTGTGCGCTGCTGTGATTCCGTTGCTACTCTGACTGAGGCCCGTGCACGCCTCAAAAGCCGTGCACAAGGCGTGACTGTGCGTCGCGTGCCAGAGAGGTGCTTTGCCGGTGACAACCCGACTGCTGAGGCATTTCAGAATCTGCCCCATGGACGCTACAACACTCGTGCATGCCAAGAGTGGTTCGCCTCACTGAGGGGCTCTGCGAGTGAGGAGTGAGGGTCCGCCTGCTGACCCGTTGCACAAACTGCCTCACCACGCAGTGTGGTAAGTTGTTGGGCGGACCTCTCAGGGGGGCAGAGCAGCCTAGGTCGCCACGCGGAAAGTCATAGAATCTGGCTTCGTTTCTTCCGAGCCCTCTTTCTGTGCTGCCTCTGACGCTCCCCCCCTGTGCATGTTGCTATGGTGTGTTGACTGAGGCCCATGCACGAGACAACAAGCCTTCCCCCCAAGGGAGGGTGCATCCCAGGGAGGGGTTCTACGAGTGAGAGAGGATCCTCTCTTTCTGACGTCTCGGGATTTGAACCACCAGGCAAAACGGTAAGTGCTTGGTCGGGTCTATGGGGGAGGAAAAGGCAGTCTAGGTCGCCGTGCGGCAAGTCGTAGACGTGAATGTTATCTCTTCTCAGTCTGTTTCCGTTGCTTCTTCTCACGCAGTCTCCTGTGTGCTTCTTCTCCTTCTTCTGTTGTGTTCTCTGCCCTGGTTCCAGTGCCTTCTTGACTGAGACGCATCATCGCATGGACACGACTACGGGATCGACGGGTGGAGGCAGGGGACGGACCAGCAGCGGGAATGCAGACGCTACAAGGAAGCATGCTGGTTCGCTGTGTCATTGTGCAGTATGGTAAGTCGTTCGCCGATTTTTTCTTGGGGGTAAGGAAGTCTAGGTCGCCATGCGGCAAGTCTTAGAATCGAGTCTTGTTTCTTCCGAGTCCGTTTCCACTACTGCCGCTGACGCTCTCTCCTCTGTGCTACCTCCCGGCCTGTGTTGGCTGCTCTGGGCGGGTCTCTCCCTGAATGAGGCCCAGGGACGCGCTGAAGTGCTTTTCAAGAAGGTGTGGTGCGAGTGAGGCGCCCCAACACTCCTGCCTGCCAAGGGTGGTGCCTCAAAGGGAGGGGCTATGCGAGGGAGGATCCACCTGCTGAGCCGTCTCAGAAACAGGCTCTGATGGCAGTATGGTAAGTCGCTGGTCTGATTCATTGGGGGGGCAGAGCAGTCTAGGTCGCCGTGCGGCAAGTCTTAGAATCAAGTTTTGTTTTTCCCGAGTCCGTTTCCTATGCGGCTGCTGACGCACTCTCTTCTGTGCTTGTCTCTGTGCTGTGTTGGCTGCTCTCTATGTTCGGGTGTCTCCCTGTCTGAGGCCCAGGATGTGCTTGTTCCTGTGGTGTGTGCTCTGGTCTGCGTGCCTCGTTTGGCTAAGAGGTGTGGAATGGACGTCCCAGTGACTGAAAGTGTTGCTCCCAGGGGCGCATTGGCGTGGCGTGGGCATGCCTGTGTGGGCAGGTGCATGCACTGGGGTGGGAGCAGCGAGGCAGCACAACAATCAACTGAGTTCTCAGCACGTCACCAAGATAATTTCTTAGGGGTTCGTGCCGCAGTGGTAAGCCTCACTTTCCTCCATTGCTTTACTGTTGTTCTTCTGGCTTGGCTTTCCCTGCTGTCTTTCTGCTTGCTGTAGTGTTCCCCCTCTTCCCTCCTCCCCAACTCTCCCCTTTTTTCGTTTTCCCCTTGCTGCTGCCAACCACCCTCTTGCTGCACCCAACTCCCCTTTCGCCCTTTTCCCCTTGCTGCACCCGACCCTGCTTTACCCCTTCCAGCGATGGCAGCAGAAGCAAGGGAGAGCATGTGGGGTGCAACAGATGAGTTCCATCCCCTCCCCATCATCGCTTTCCCCTCACCATCATCAGCAAGCGAGTTCCCGAGTCCAGCAATTTCCATTGCTATCCTCTGTGGTTGCAAGGGAGAGCACATGGGATTACCGCCTTTTCTTCTGCCATTGCTCTTGGATCTCTCGAGCTCTGAGAATGTGGCCCTCTCAACGCACTTCCTTTAGCTCCCTTTGCTCCCCTTCCTCCCATCACACAACAGGCGTGGTTGTAGCAAAAGCATCAACGTGCATGCAGTAGCACTAGGGGACAGGAAGGGAGGAGGAAAGGAAGGAAGGAGGGAAGGATGGGAAGGGAGAAGCATGGAAGGGTAGAAGGGTAGAAGTTGTTTGGTTTACCAACAGGGTGGGTTTTGACTCCTGTGCTGCACCCACCCACCCATGCGTGCACAAGTGCGTTACCCCTCGCTGAGTCATGTTCCTGCTACCAATACTTACTCTCAGCTGCTTTCTGCATATTTCTCCCATGTTTTTCTTGCCCCGCATTATCTCCATGGCTAGAATCCCCTTTTCATGTATTTTGTTGCCCCCCTGTAGCATCCGTCCTCCCCACTAACGTTCCATCCTCCCTGCATTGCCTCCTCCCCTTGGCAGGTCTGCAGGGGGCAACAGCAACAGCGAGAACACTAAGTGGTATCCGCAGTGATGCATGCACGCCAGCAGTAGTAATCTCATAGCACTAGTAGTGAGGCATACGTAGTAAAAAGAGTATTTTTTAGTACCGGTACATGGAAACGGAGCAAGGTGATGTAAGGTGAAGGTCTCATAGTAACTACCGTATGAAGGGACGGTGAGGTATGGTGGGGTTTGGTAGTGTAAGATAGGTATGGTAAACGATGCTGAGGTATGGTAAGGTATGGTATGGTACGGTGACTCCCCAACCAAACCAGGGCAACGGATCACTAGACAGAGGAAGCAGGCATGTCTATTGAAACACGTACCCTGACAAAGAGACATACACACACATATAGGCAAAGAGAAACTCACCCTGCTAAGGGCTGATTGTGTGTAGCCTAAATAAAGGATACAGCCCACACCATACCACAAAATCAGAGCTCAAACACAAAACAGACGCCAAAAGCAGAATTACCTAACAGGTGAGCAGATTGGGTTGGGCCCAAACGTGCAGACATTCCAACTTAGGGCGTGTGTGATTTTGCCGAACCTGACAAAGTTCGAACTCAAACCGCTTTGCATCGTGGAAAAACTCTTCGAATTGTATTCTACCGTGACGAACCGTCGTAGAGTTCGAACTTTCAGTCAGGTTCGGCAAAATCACACACGCCCTTAGCTGATTGCGTGGTCTCAGTTGGGGATTGTTGTAGGCGGTCAATGTCAACGCTTCGGTTGCGGAAGTCAACGCTTGACTCGTTAACCACTTCCCCGCTGCAAGTTGAAAATTCTCCCAGAGTCTCAAGCCACCATATTCGCCAAGTGGTCTAAACTACACTACACGCCCATGCGGCTGCAGGACTGCAGGTGCTTTGGCCTGGAAGACCATCGTTTTCGGGCCCGAAGTTCCCAAGGTTGGTGCTGGTTGACTGCTGCAGGCACGAAAATCAGCATCAGAGGCTGATGGCAATCTGACTAGCTTGCAGTTTTCCAGATGCCATACTCGCCCTGATGCGCTCCAAATAGCGGCCATTTCCGGCTTTAGGGAAGGCCAATCGTGAAATAATTAATAAAATCTTAGGTTCGCAGGGTTCATCTCTTTTGACGCAGGCATTGGTGAAAGACGACGCTGGTTCTGCTGGTCACAACGGACTACTGGTCCGCAACGTGTCGAGAGACCGAAGTTTTACGTTTCAACTTGACACTCCGCGCATCGCTAATGTCTCCGTAGATACTATGGCGTCGTTGCAGCGGCGTCGGCGCCTTTACAGCTCGACTTGTTATCGTCACCGAAACTCGTAATTCGATGCTATTATGGCGGCGTCTTCGTTAGCTTGGTGCGAAAGCCAGTACCTTTTACTCAGAAATTCGAGTTTTAGGTTTTCGTCCGTTGTTGTAAAAACTCTTTAATTCCAGTGTTCAGTCTTCCGACTTTTGGCCGGCAAATTATTGTCGGCGCTAACATTAGGTTTAAATTACCTCGGTACAAGACATTAAGACGCTTTATCGCAGGATACAAGTGTAGCCCTTGGCTTTCCGCCTCTGCATACCCGGTGCAAGCCACGGTTAGGGTTTCCTCAGCTAGTCACGACCCATTGTAGAGCTCCACGTGGTGAAGCGTGCCAGCGCGTCCCGAGGCTCTCTCATTCCGCGGGCATTCGGCGTGGCAGCGAGTGAGGCGGCAAGATGAATTTCTCGCACGACAAGTTCGACGCGGAGAAGTATGTGGACGACCAGATGCAGATTATGGACGAACGGGTACGTCGCATAGACTTAGCTCCTCTTCTCCCCGCTTACCCCCCGTGCTCTAACCATACAGTCTTATTCCCACCTTCCTTGTGAATCTCCCCCCCGTGCCCCCTCCCCCGTAGCTCCCTCCCTCCACACCCCCCTTTCCCCCCCGTCGCAGGGCGTGCGGCTGCTGGTCGGGACCTCGCATATTACAGGAGGGTATCAGCGGACGAGATGCGCAAGAGCGTGTTCGCCAACAACACCGCCTTCATCGGCAACCCCCGTTATTCCCCTCCCCGCTCCCTCCCATACTCCCTCCTCCTTACGCCCTGCAGGGCGTGCGGCTGCTGGTGGGGGACCTGGCGGACTACCGGCGGGTATCGGCGGACGAGATGCGCAAGAGCGTGTTCGCCAACTACACGGCCTTCATCGGCACGTCCAAGGAGATCGCGGAGCTTGAGGTGGAGTTACAGCAGATGAAGAACCTGCTCTCAGTGCAAACCGCGCTTATCCACTCCCTCGCCGCGGACAGCATGAGCAATGATAATAGTAATAGCGCTTCTGGTGGTGGGGGTGGGGGTGGGGGTTCGACGCCTGCGTCGACTACTTCGTCGGTTACCACTGCTGGTACTTCGTCCACGTTCGCCGGCGCTTCGTCCTCGTCATACGCGGCCTCGTTAGCCACCCCGCAGCAGGATGAGGAGGAGGACGAGCGGCTGTGGAGCGTCGAGGTTCCCGAGCCCACCGAGATTGAGAAATACGCGGAGGCGCTGCCGGATATACTGGATATTCTTATAGCGGAGCGCAAGGTCGACCGCGCTATAGAGCTGCTGGAGCAGGGGCAGCAGATCGTGCAGCTGGCGCTCGCGACAGCGGGGGACGGGGCGGGCGGGGGCGGGGGAGGCGGGAAAGGGGGCGGGGACGGAGGCGGGGGCGGGGAGGACGAGGAGATACTGTCCGCGGACGCGGCGAATGCGCTGGCGGCGGCGATCGCGGAGAGGCGCGCGTGGCTGATGGCGCAGCTGGAGGAGACGGCGCAGCAGGCGGCTGTGCGCGGACAGGAGCTGCGCCAGGCCGTGGGCGCGCTGTACCGCCTGGGGGAGACCGAGCGCGCGCACCAGCTGCTGCTGGGCGCGTACGGGGAGCGGATTAGGAGCGGGTCCCGCCTGCTGCGCCCCCGGGGAACGAGTTTTGGCGGGGCGTACACTGCTGCATTGGCGCAGGTGAGCGTGGGGAGGGGGAAGGCGTGGGGAAGGGGGAGAGGCGTGGGAGGGAGAGGGTGTGGGGAGGGGGAACGTGGGGAGGGAGAGGGCGTGGGGAGGGGAACGTAGGGAGGGAGCTGCGCCAGGCCGTGGGCGCGCTGTACCGGCTGGGGGAGATCGAGCGCGCGCACCAGCTGCTGCTGGGTGCGTACGGGGAGCGCATCAGGAGCGGATCCCGCCTGCTGCGCCCCCGCGGGACCAGCTTTGGCGGGGCGTACACTGCTGCCCTGGCGCAGGTGAGTGCGAGGGGAGAGGGAGCGCTGGGAGGGGGAGGCCGTGCGGGAGGGGAAGGCGTGGGGAGGGTTAACGGGTGAAGGTCCTGGAATGGTCACGGGTGGGTGGCTTAACGTATCTTTCCCTCATCCCCTTTCCCCTTTCCCCATTGCTTCCCCCACTTTTCTCCCCAGGCAGTGACAGCTCACACCATTTTGAGAAACCTTGTATCCGTTTTCTCACCTCATTCCCTCCCCTTCCCCCCCTCCCCCCCCTTCCCCCCTCCCCCTCCCCACCTCCCCCCTCCCCTTCCACATCCCCAGTTGGTGTTCTCGGCCATATCCCAGGCGGCCACGGACTCAGCACGCATATTCGCATCGGACCCGGCATGTGCAGCGGATCTGCTGCTGTGGGCGCAGAGGGAGACGGAGTTCTGTGTGTCGTTGCTCAAGCGCCACGTGCTCTCCTCTGCCGCTGCTGCTGGCGGCCTGCACGCCGCTGCCGAATGTGTTCGCATCGCCCTGGGTCACTGCAGGTGGGTGGCGAGTGGTTGGGTGCACTGCAGGTGGGTTGCAGGTAGGTACGTGCTTGGCCACTGCTGGCCGTTGCTGCTCACTCGCTGCTCAAGCGCCACGTGCTCTCCTCCGCTGCCGCTGCTGGCGGGCTGCACGCTGCCGCTGAGTGTGTCTGCATCGCCCTGGGGCAGTGCAGGTGGGTGGTGGGTGTGGGTGCAGTGCTATTGGGTGGGTGCTTGGGATCTGCTGCTGTGGGCGCAGAGGGTGATGGAGTTCTGTGTGTCGCTGGTTGCTGCTCAAGCCCGTCTGCTGCTGCTGCTGCTGGGGGGCTGCACGCTGCTGCTCAATGCGTGCACATTGCCCCGGGCAACTGCAGGTGGGTGGGTGGTGGGGCGTTGCAGGTGTGTGGCAGGTGGGTGGGTGCGGCCACACTCCCACGCCCATGTGTTGGCCCACGCCCTCCACCCCATCCCCTGCAGGCTGCTAGAGGAGCAGGGCGTCACGCTCTCCCCAGTGCTCTCTAAGCTGGTCCGTCCAAGTGTGGAGGAAGCCCTGGAGTTCAACATCATTCGCATAGAGGACTCTGTCGCAGCCATGGTGGCTGTCGACGACTGGCTGCTGCAGCCGCTGCCCCATGCCCTGCTGCCCTTCCCCTTCCACCCCTCCCCCCCTCTGCAGGCTGTTAGAGGAGCAAGGCCTCACTCTCTCACCTGTTCTATCCAAGCTGGTCCGTCCAAGTGTGGAGTAGGCTCTCGAGTTCAACATCATCCGCATAGAGGACTCTGTCGCCACCATGGTGGCTGTCGATGACTGGGTGCTGCCCCTCCCTTTCCACCCCTTCCCCTGCAGGCTGCTCGAGGAGCAAGGACTGACACTGTCCCCAGTGCTGTCCAAGCTGGTCCGCCCCAGTGTGGAGGAGGCCCTGGAGTTCAACATCATTCGCATAGAGGACTCTGTTGCCACCATGGTGGCCGTCGACGACTGGGTGCTGCAGCCGCTGCCTCATGGTGCTGCTGCCACCGGCAGGGTGCGCGCGCTGCAGCAGACTCTCGGCCCGGGACTGATGCACCTGCGGCTGTCGAGTAGTGGCCAGCGCTTTTACCTGCTGCTCGTGGTGAGTGGTTCTTGTGCTGCTACTATGCAGTGCTGCTGCCACTGCCCCACGGCGCCGCTGCCACTGGCAGGGTGCGAGCGCTGCAGCAGACTCTCGGCCCGGGACTCATGCACCTGCGGCTTTCGAGCAGCGGTCAGCGGTTCTACCTCTTGCTCGTGGAGAGTGGTGGGTGGGGTGAAGGGGGGTAACCGCCTGGGCGGGGGCTTGAGGCTTCTGAGGCTCTCCAGCAGCGGCCAGCGGTTCTACCTCTTGTCCGTGGTGAGTGGTGGTTGAGGTGAATGGGGGTAACCGCCTGGGCTCTTTCTTGGAGTTTTCGTTGCGCTGTTGCAGCAGGGCCTGGCATAGCCCCTCACTCTCCCCTCACCCGTCATTGCCGCACTTCCAGCTACACACCACACATCAGGACCTGGTGGAGGGAGAGCATTCGCCCTATGTTCAGCCTGCTTCAACAATCTCCCTTCTCCCCTCACACCCCCCATTCCCTCCCCTGCCCACCCCACATCTGGATCTAGTAGAGGATATCCTCTTGATGATCAGCCTGCGTCATCACACCCTCCCCCCTCCCATCTCGCTGATCCCCCCCATTCGCCCCACATCAGGACTTAGTGGGGGATATCCTGCCGGTGATCAGCCTGCAGTTGTTTGGCCGCATTCTCGACCGCCTGGCCTCCCTCTTTGAGTCCTACGTCGCCCTGCTGCAAAGGCGCTCCTCTTTCCCCTCATTCCACCCCACCCAACCCACCCCAACCAACCCCACCCCTCCCCACCGCACATCAGGATCTAGTGGAGGACATTCTTCCGGTGATCAGCCTGCAGCTGTTCGGTCGCATTCTCGACCGCCTAGCCTCTCTCTTCGAGTCCTACGTCGCGCTCCTGCAAAAGGCCCTCCCCTCGCCCTCCGACGAGGACGACGAGGAGGACGGGGACGGGGGGAAGGTGGCGGGGGAAGGGGGCAAGGACAAGTCCGGGGAGAAGGAGAACGGGGAGGAGCCGTGGCAGGACGGCAGTGTGAGGACAGCGGAGGACGAGCAGCAGCAGCTGGCGCTGCTGGGGAACGCGTCGGCTCTGGCTGATGATCTGCTGCCCCGCCTGGCTCAGAGGCTCACGCTGGCTGCTGGGGAGGAAGGTGGTGGGGGTGGGGGGCGAGCGGTGAGGAAGCAGGGCGGGGCGGATCCAGACAGGAGGCTGTCTGCTGGCGGACGGTACGCTCGCTTCTTCCACTCTCTCTGTATCCTCTCTCCCTCTTGTCTCTCCAACCCGTTTCTCTGAACACTCCCTCAGAAGAATCTTTATTGCGGATTCCATTCCATTCCCCTGTTTTCCTTCTCTCCACCTCCTCCTTGTATCCTTCGATCCCCTTGCCTTTTCCTCCCTCCCTCCCTTCCTTCTCACCCGCCTCCCCCCTGACAGCAATGCAGCGGAGCACAAGGAGTGGAGGAGGCGGCTACAGAAGGCGGTGGACAAGCTGAGGGACGTGCTGTGCTCGTGCCTCGTGGCCGAGTTCATGTACGGCCACGATGGCCAGCCCATCCTCACCGCGCACCAGTACCTGCACATGGATGCCAAGATGCGCCCCACCCAGTGGGCGCTCAAGCCCCTCCCCTCGCCGCCTTTTCAGGTGAGCATCCCTTCTTCTGCTCAGCATCCGTTATCCAGGTCAGCCGTTCATGTATGGGCATGACAGACAGCCAGCCCATTCTCACCGCGCACCAGTACCTACACATGAACGCCAAGATGCGCCCAACGCAGTGGGCGCTCAAACCGCTCCCCTCGCCGCCCTTCCAGGTCAGCATCCCTTATCCAAGTCAGCGGCACCCGTTATCCATGTCAGCATCCAGTTCCCATGTCAGTACCCGTGTCCAAGTCAGCCCTTTCAAGGATGCGACCACGTGGTGTTTTAGCTGCATGGTGCTGCTGTGATCTCTTTACCCCTATCAAACGCGCACATCTCTCAACCCCTCCCCTCCCCTCCTTCCCCTCCCAGGCGCTCTACATGGCGCTGCACTCCATCCATTCAACCGCCACGTATGTCCTAGGAGGCAGCAACTGTGTGGTCACGCTGCTGCATGCTGCTGCTGTGATTGTTCACCCCCTTTCAAACACGCACCTCTCTGACCCCACCTTCCTCCTCGCCCCGCCCCTTGCCTCCCCCCAGGCGCTCTACATGGCGTTGCATTCCATCCATTCAACCGCCACGTATGTGCTGGGAGGGAGCAACTGCGTAGTCACGCTACGGCCTGGTGCCCCCTATCAAACATGCACCTCTGTCACCCACCCTCCCCCCCCCCCCCTTCCCTCTCCCCCAGGCGCTCTACATGGCGTTGCATTCCATCCATTCAACCGCCACGTATGTGCTGGGAGGGAGCAACTGCGTAGTCACGCTACGGCCTGGTGCCCCCTATCAAACATGCACCTCTGTCACCCACCCTTCCCCCCCCCCCCCCTTCCCTCTCCCCCAGGCGCTCTACATGGCGTTGCATTCCATCCATTCAACCGCCACGTACGTGCTGGGAGGGCGTGACCGCGTGGTGACGCTGCTGCTCATGCGCCTGGCCGAGTGGCTCATGATGGGCCTCATGGTCTACAGCTCCTTCTGGGACGAGCTTGAGAATGCTGAATACGCGCTTGGGCCTACTGGTCTGCAGCAGGTGCGTCACTTGCTGGAAGGAGGAGGATGATAGGAGAGTCAGAGGGGGGTCTCTATCTCGCCGAGTGGCTCATGATGGGCCTCATGGTCTACAGCTCCTTCTGGGACGAGCTCGAAAACGCTGAATATGCGCTTGGCCCCACAGGCTTGCAACAGGTGCGGTCTTGTATGGGCAAGGGGGAATGGAGGGGGAAGGGGATGATAGAAGAGTCAGTGGGGGTAGGTGCCTGCCTCGCGGAGTGGCTCATGATGGGCCTCATGGTCTACAGCTCCTTCTGGGACGAGTTGGAGAACGCTGAATACGCTTTCGCGCCGACAGGCTTGCAGCAGGTGTGTTTCTTGTGCAGCGTGTGCCTTTATGAAGGGGGAGGATATTTGCGTGAGGGGTTGTTGAAGGGGGGATGGGGGGCAAATCTTCCTGCAGGGCCATGCGCACACGTGAAACCACACACAGCTCCCTCTTTATCATCTGTCTCTTTCACTGGAGCAATGCATTCACCAGAACCCCCTTTCCCACCATCCATCCACCAGAACTCCCCTACCAGCTGGTGTTTGACATGTATTTCGTGATGCAGGTGGCCAAGGCAGGCAAATATTCCTCCTGGGCCATGCGCACACGTGAACCCATGCACTCACTAGCCCTCTTGTCCCTTCCTTCGCCCTCTTCCCCCCCGCACCCCCTGTCTCCACCCCCCCACACCCCACTTCAGCTGGTGTTTGACATGTATTTCGTGATGCAGGTGGCCAAGGCAGGCAAATACTCCTCCCGGGTTATGCGGGCCGTGCGGGCCATGTGCACACCTGAACCCAAGCGCTCACCCTCTCTATCTGGCCCCTTTCTCTCCCTTCCCCCCCCCCTGCTTCCACCCCACCAGCTGGTGTTTGACATGTATTTCGTGATGCAGGTGGCCAAGGCGGGCAAGTACTCCTCCCGGGCCATGCGCAAGGTGGCAGAGGACAGTGCTACTAAGGCCATCGTGCTCTTCACGGATCAAACGGGAGGCGATCCCAACAGGTGAGGGCTTCAAACCCAATAGGTTCGTGCAGCTATCATTCAAACAGCTCATTGCAGGGAGGGCAGGAGGGCAGGGCCATGCGCAAGGTGGAAGAGGACAGCGCCACCAAGGCCATCGTGCTGTTCACCGACCAGACGGGAGGCGATCCCAACAGGTGAGGGCTTCTATCTAAGCACGGCGCACTAGTGTGCCCCCAGTGCGTGAAAGGAGGGGTTGGCAAGGACGCAGAAGGCAGCGCTGGCTTCTGCCGAGGCCAGCGTGCTGTTCACAGACCAGACTGGGGCGGACCCTAATGGTTGAGGGCTCTGGTCCAGTGATGCTCCGGGGGTGATGCTTCGTGGGTGATGCTCCGGGGGTGATGCTCGGGGGGGTGATGCTCCGGGGGTGATGCTCCGGGGGTGATGCTCCGGGGGTGATGCTCCGGGGGTGATGCTTCGTGGGTGATGCTCCGGGGGTGATGCTCGGGGGGGTGATGCTCCGGGGGTGATGCTCCGGGGGTGATGCTCCGGGGGTGATGCTCCGGGGGTGATGCTCCGGGGGTGATGCTCCGGGGGGTGATGCTCCGGGGGTGATGCTCCGGGGGGTGATGCTCCGGGGGTGATGCTCGCAGCAGCAGTTGTCTCACTTGTTCACCCAGCTCAAGGTTTAAAAAAACGTCGTTTTTTTGAAAACTTACCGTAAAAACCGGCCGTAAAAAACGACCGTAAAAAACGGCCGTAAAAAACGGTAAAAAAACGGTTCCAGAAGGTGGTTCCGTTTGAAGAAAAAATCGGCCATTTATGGGACCAAATTGATGGCGAAAATCACCAGGATGAAGAGGACGAACCCCTCCTTGCATGAGTGCGGTTGTGGGCATGTTTGAAAATGTATTCGACCTTGTTTTTCCCTTTTTTTTTTGGTGACAACAGTTCTCTAACAAAAAAACGCCGTTTTTTTTGGAAAATTACCCGTAAAAAACGGACCGTTTTTTTACGGAAACCGTATTTTTGAACCTTGACCCAGCTTCACCGTTTGCTACCCTTCTTTTGTACGCACCCTCACAGTCTGCTGCAGGAGGACTGGTGGTACGAGCACAAGTGTGTGGAGGCAATAGAGGAGCTGGCAGCAGCAGCCAGCCCAGCAGTGTTATCACTTGCTCACAGCACCCTCTTACTACCATCACCCCCCTCTCTCTGTCCCTCACAGTCTCCTACAGGAGGACTGGTGGTACGAGCACAAGTGTGTGGAGGCAATAGAGGAGCTGGCAGCAGCGGCCAGCCCAGCAGCGTCGCCTACAGACTCGCCCAGCCGCCACCGCCGCTCCTTCTCCCAAGAAGACCCTGACGATCCCCTTGCCGCCGCCTCCTCTGCTGCTCCTGCTGGAGCTAGTCCTGCTGCTGCTGCTGGTGCTGCTGCTGGTGGTGCTGCTGGTGCTGGTGGTTCTACAACTGCTGCTGCCGTCTCTCCAACAATACCAGCTTTGCCGCAGCAGGGGGATGGGGGGTTATCGCAGCAGCAGCAGCAGCTGGGGCGGGGTGCGATGGATGAGGAGAGGAGACCAGCAGCAAAGGGACAGTATGATATGTATGATGATGGGGGGGCTAGGAGTGAGAGACCGGGAGGGAGAGGAGGTGCGAGTCGAAGCCCTACGGGTGAATCAGCAGGAAGGGGAGCGCGGAACAGAGGGTTTTCAGATGATGATTATGGGAGCGGGGGAGGTAGGAGTGAGTACGCGAGCCGGGATAGGGGGGATGGGAGGGAGCATGGGAGGGAGTATGGGAGGGGGGACAGTGTGGGGAGCAGGGAGCATGGGAGGGAGAGGGATGGTGCAGGGGGCTGGGATTATGGGAGGGATGGCGGTGGGAGGGATTATAGGGAGAGTGGTGGGAGAGAGTATGGGAGGGAGAGGGATGGATCGTATCGGGACAGGGATGTGTCTTATAGGGAGAGAGATCGGGATGGGTATGGGCGGGAAGAGAGAGGTTATGGGGGCCGACAGTCACAGCGGCGAGGAGGGTATTGATGTGAGGGAGGAAGGGAGAAGAGGGTAGTGATGCGAGAGGAGAGACGAGGGTTTGATGTGAGTATGGAGGAGGTTGGGTGTTGGAGGATGGAGGAGGGTACTGATGTGACAGGCGGGCGGAATGTAAGGCTTTCAAGAGAGGGAATGTGGCCCGTGGAAGTCTTGTGGCCGCTTGCCAGCTTTTTTCCTTTCGGTTTGGTGGAGAGGACGTTGCTCAAGGAGGCTGCCCGCCTCAAGCCTTCGGTGTGGGCAGGAAAAAAAAAAGAAGGGACGAGGTCGGAATATTGATAATGTGAAAAAAAACTGTTGTAGTCTATTTACCTGCTGCTATTTGTAGGGAAGAGTAGCAGGAGAGATTGGGCTGGAAAGCAGGTAAAGGTGCCTGCTTGAAAAAGCTTGCCGCTAGTAGCAAGAGAAATGAGCCAGCTGAAGTCTTTTATTGTCCCAGGTAGGTGATCAAGTTTTGTGTTATTACGTTGTAAAGAAACTCTTTTATAACTTCGCACGTAGCGGGGATGTTGGCGGTAGGGGGGGTTCAGCTTACGGAATTCATCCTCGTTGCAAGCTCGTTGACCTGCTTCCTTCGGTACAGTATTCGTTGCTCCACACACAAGCGCAACCCCTTTTTCTTTGCCCACCTATGCGCATCAATTACATTAGTTGCTCCGAGAATAAGCGCAGCTAGTTGCACGAATCGGAGTGGAGCCCTCCTCGTCCCTCCCTAGGCCAACGGTCGTGCGTTGCGGCGAAGCAAGTCATCGACGCGACTTGCCGGAATTTTCTCTCGCGAATAGCCCGGTACATTTCAGCGAGTCCGCTGTAGTCGTGAGAGCGTAGGAGCTTATCGAGGCAATTCTTGACGAGTATTTTGAGCCTCAGGATTAGCCGAAGCGAGCCGAGCTAGTGGGATAAATGGGAAGCGCGGGGAAGCTTAAAAGCGGCCGTGCGGCCATGGCGCCCGTAACTTCGTCGAAGGTAGGCAGGCAGGGGAAGAAGAAGAAGGCGGGAACTGCACCTAACCGGGGTGAACCGAACTCAACCGAGCCTCCAGCTACGCTGGCTACAGCGGCTGGAGATGACGCCGCAAGTGCGGGTTTCGCAGCTGATGCCGCAGCTGTCGCAGACGTGACGACAGTAGACCCTAACTCGACGACCATTGATGCGACGCCTGCGATGGAGTCGCAGGCGTCGCTGCCGGGCGGCAAGCGAAAGCGAGGAGCCGGCGACGACATTGACGCGATTTTCAACCAGGCGAAGCAGAGCAAGCAGCAAGCGGTGGCGGGAAGCGGGCAGAACGGAAAAAAGAGCAAAGGCGGCGCGAAAGACCAGGGCATCGAGAAACATCTTGGGGAGAAAAAAGGGAAGAAGAAAGAAAAGGGCAGTAGAAGTGGCTTGGACGCAGAGAGCAAGCCAAGGAAGCGGACAGAGGAAGGGTACAGGGTTTACAAGGAGGAGGAGTTGGGGTGGAACAAGAAGAGTGCTGGCGGCACTGCGCTGTGCCCCTTTGATTGTGACTGCTGCTTCTGAGCCTGGCTTGAGGCGTTCGGTCAGAGGCGCGGCGCTTTGAGAAACATCGAGGCAGTAAGGGGTAAAGGAGGGGTATAGGGTTTACAAGGTGGGGTGGGGTACACGGTTAACAAGGCTGAGTCATGTCTGTATCGAACTTTGAGATACAGAGATAGGGGTCCTACAATTTCTAGTCGCCGAAATGGAATCACAAGCCCCGGGAGCGGAAGCAAGGCGAGCAGGGCAATATCTGTACCGTAGTCTACTATGGGGAAGACAAGCTGGGCTGGGATAGTCTGTTTGGGTAGTCATTGCGTTGTCCTCCTCCGATCATGACTGCTGGCTTGAGTGGCTGTCAGCTTCATCAGTTGGCTCACAGGTGATTTATCAGGTGATCTGTCAGGTAATCATCAGTAAGATGGCAATAGTGGGTGTCTGTTCCTGCTTCTGAGAGTCATGGTGCTGCTGGTTCTGCTGCAGTTTCTCATTTTGGAATAACAGATTGTGGAGCCGCCCAGGAAAAGCCATATGGCACCATGGCAGCACCAACTCTTGGTGCTCTGGATAAGGTTGCCCCTTCCTTATGAGTGCACCCCGCCTGCAACATTTGTTAATCCATGTCAATAAAGAATTTATGGTAGTGTTACATTCCATCAGTGCGGTTGCCTCATTTTTGACACCGACATTCACCATTGTCCCCATCCGACAGGCACATGCCATTCCGATTCCACCTCCCAGTTTCTACTGTACAGTCTAATGCAGCATCAGCCTGTCCCAATACCACATGCCAAACCTCACTCACCACCACATAGCCGCACCCATTCCCACTAAGCATGCCCCCCAGCCCTACTGAGACTTCCTCAGGCTTAGGCCTCGGCACTCTCACGCGAGATGGGCATCTCGCAGGGGGATGGTTGAGGCCCACCCCTCTTCCGCACACTCACCCACCCCGTAAAACTCCCTAGAGCTTATGCCTCTGCACCCGCCTTGCTCTGTTCCTGCAGCAGCTTCTGTGCGGCGCTCTCATACGCGGCATCGGCATCGCGCAGGGGGATGGAGCCGGCAAGCAGGTGCAGCGGGGTTTTGAGGCAGTAGCCGCAGCACTTGCCCGTGCACTCCCTGCGCCGGCCACACTCCCGGTTGTACCTGGGGGAGGGGAGACGAGGGTACAAGGCAGACGGGAGTAGGGCATATTGCGACGATGGGTGAGTGAAAACCCAAACCATCTGATTTAAAACGTGCACTGTGCGCACCAGAGTCCAGGAAAGACGAACTGGCAGGCACAGGTTCGGCACGACCGTACCTGCACATGTAGCACCGGGGAGCGTCGATGCTGTCTTCCGAGCCTGGCCCCACAGGCCAGGAATCTTCAAATGTCTTCTCAAAGTTGGCCAACACCTGATGAGCCGAGGGTTGGGAAGGAGGGAGGGCCAAGGGAGTGGCGAGGGTAAGTTTTGTTAAGGCGTCTCAAAAGTGGGGCGAGGGTTGGGAAGGAGGTAGGGCCGAGGGAGTGGCAAGGGTAAGAAGGGGCACCAGGTGCTAACAGGCCCCACTGGCCTCAAGGTCAAAGAAAACTGGGAGAGAAATTGATGGGACGTGGGACGAGCGAGGTGAACCAAGGGGATGGGAGGAGTCCGCCCCCCCCCCTTATGCTCCCACTCACGCCCCCACCCATGCCCCACACCCCACCCCAATGACTCACATCAAGAACAGCAAAGTCGGTGTAGTTGTATGAAGGCAGCAGCGCCCCCTCATCATCCATGTCGTTGCCATCCTCTGCTGGACTCGCCCTCTTTCGAGACGTCTCAAAAATCCCCCCCTCCCTTCCCCATATGGTGGTACCACCCATGCCCCCAAACATGCCTAACTCATATATCAAGCACAACTTGGTGACTCACATCAAGAACAGCAAAGTCGGTGTAGTTGTATGAAGGCAGCAGCGCCCCCTCATCATCCATGTCGTTGCCATCCTCTGCTGGACTCGCCCTCTTTCGAGACGTCTCAAAAGTCCCCCCCTCCCTTCCCCATATGGTGGTACCACCCATGCCCCCAAACATGCCTAACTCATATATCAAGCACAACTTGGTGACTCACATCAAGAACAGCAAAGTCGGTGTAGTCGTATGAAGGCAGCAGCGCCCCCTCATCATCCATATCATTGCCGTCCTCTGCTAGACTCTGCTGCCCCCCAAACGCGAATACCACCCGCGCCCCTATTACTCACATCAAGAACAGCGAAATCAGTGTAGTCATAGGAGGGAAGCAGCGCGCCCTCGTCATCCATGTCGTTGCCGTCCTCTGCTGGACTCGCCCCCGCACCCGCCTACTCACATGTAGTACCACAAAGTCACTCCCAACCCAGCGACTCACATCGAGAACAGCAAAGTCGGTATAATCATATGAAGGAAGCAGCGCGCCCTCGTCATCCATGTCATTGCCATCCTCTGCTGGACTCGCCCCCGCGCCCGCCAGGCAGGTCGGGTAATTCACCCCCTCGGTGGCGGGGAATTTACCCTCGAAAATGAGGTGCACCTCGTAGCTCATCCCAAAATCGTACTGGTAGACCAGCAGCGGATCGTTCTTTGAAAACACTGCTCCCACCTCGAACGCCCTCTCGTCCAACACCTGATGTGATGTGAGGGGTGGAAAAAGAAGAGAGAACATGGAGTACGAGGGGGGAGGGAGGCACACGGGAACGGGAGCAGGGCAAGGGGAGTACAGGAGGGGGAGCAAGGGAAGGGAAGAAGAGGAGGAGAGAGAGGAGGAGGGGGGGGTGTTGGTGGTTGGTTGTTCAATTACAGCCACACAAGCCGCCCGGTGCACCTCGTAGCTCATCCCAAAGTCGTACTGGTAGATCAGCAACGGGTCGTTCTTTGAAAAGACTGCTCCCACCTCGAACGCCCTCTCGTCCAACACCTGATGTGAGGGTAAGAGAGGGAAGGGAGTGACGGAAGGGAAGCATGAGTGGGGGAGCAGGAGGTGGGGGGGAGCAGGAAGGGGGGAGAAGTGGCGGGGGGTGGCAAGCAGAGGAGGAGAGCAAAAAGTGGGAGCGGAAGGGGTTGGGAGGTGCAGCAATAACGGAGAGAGCAGGAGGGTGGGGAGCTAAGGCAGGGAGCATTGAATGGGAGTGTGTGGTGGTGCACACAAGGCCCTCTCTTCCACATTCCCTTCCCCCAAAATTCACACACCCCACATTTCCCCACTCCTCTCTTCCACTCTCCCCCGTACAATCCCCACACCCACAAATTCCACTCTCTCACACTCCCCCCTCCTCAACTCCCCGCCTCACCTCGCCAGGTCCTGCCAGCAACGCAACCTCCTTCCCTTCTCCCGCCGCCGCAGCCACGTCAGCATGCTCCACAAACACCACCTCAGCACTGCCGCCCAAATCCAAGCTCGCCGGCGTGAGAATCAAATCGTCCGCCGCCTCCTCCTTGGCGCCGGCCACAGTCTTGAACGTGCGCGTGAATCCGGGCGGCAGAGAGTCCAAATCC